CGGGGGGAAAGGCCTGGACCTTGGAAGAAGAGCGGAAGAGGATCGGACCTTCCGAGCCTCCCAAGCCGCCAGAGAAATAGCGAAGTCCTCGGGACCAGAAAGCCCTAAGCTCCGGCAAATCCGATCGAACTCGCCCTCGGTTCCCTCGACTCGGAAGCTCATCTTGTCGGACAAATCGAGAGACCGAGTGTGGAGCGACGGCGACGGCGACGACTCGATCGACGACGATGAAGACGATGACGACGAATGCGACAAGGCCGCGTTGTACTCAATGTACCTGGCGGCATTGCGACGCTCGAGCCGCGGCTTCCTAGGGTTCTTCTTCGAATCCATGGCCTTGCCTCGCTTGCTACTGGAGAAAAATCGAGGTATGTGCTGCATCGAGAACAAAATCCATCTAAATTACCACCTCCACACCTTCGATCGGAAACCAAAATTCAATGATCACCAAGAAATTAACCCCGAGAAAGTTCTTGCTCCATCCGCCCCTTTACTTCAGACAATTCCTCCGCAAATTCGTCGACAAAATAGACAACTTCGATGAGGTTCTAGCTCCGATTATACTTCCGCAACTTTACCGAGAAAATTGAGCGAGAAAACGAAAAGAAAGTAGACAGCTTTAATCAGGAACAAAAAACGAAGAATCACCGAGAAATTAACCCCTGAAAACTTCCTGCTACTACTTCAGATGATTCTTCAGCAACTTCACCGAGAAAATTGAGCACGGAAAGTGGACAGCTTTGATTAAGCACTGCAAACGTCTATCTATAACTACAGATAATTCTTCCGCAACCTTACCGAGAAAATTGATCGAGAAAACGAAAAGAAAGTGCACAGCTTCAATCGGGAACATACACGAAGAATAACCGACAAATTAACCACTTCAAACTTCTTCCGACAACTCCAGATGATTGTTGTGCAACTTTCCCGAGAAAATCGAGCGAGAAAGAGGAAAGAAAATGGATTTTCGGGTGAGAAAAGAGGGGACCTGACGAAATAGAAAGGAGATATGATTATCAATTTATCGTGAGAGGCGTTATGGTTGAAACGGAAAAAAAAAATATAGGGAAGTGAGACTTTTAAAGAGACTGGTAAACGCCGTCGATGGAAGCCGCGAAGGAAAACGCGGTGCCACGTGGCGGCGAATGAGACGAAGAGTGTGACTGGGATTAGTGGGGCCCACTTAGAGTGAGTGAGCTCAGCGCCAGCTCGGTCAGAAAGCCGAATAGGAAGGGAGTGGGCCCACTTTATTGTTCATATGAGGGCGAGAGTCGAGACCAGAGATTCCTTGTGTTTAACCCACGGGAGCTCCTGACCTGACCACGCAAGTTTTTTCAAGGTGACAGCTTGTCAAAGCGGATCGGCCAGATGGCAGATTCGACAAGCGAAGACCGAAGACGACAGTTTGGGAAATCCAAAACGTAATTAGTATTACGCGCTAATTTTTTAATTTTTTTGGATTTTGTTTGGGAGTTGAATAATTCTTTTGATCGAAATATACATTAATAATGTATAAAATATAAATCACATTCATTTCCAAAAATATATATATATAAAAATCGCATTGATATACTAGGAAGTTAGTAGGGGAAATTTTTTTATCATTTTTTATATTTTTTATACTTTTAAAATGAGATATATTTAAAAATATAAAAAAAATCAATGGTTAAAAGATGCAATAAAAAATGGAGGAAAAAAATTTTAAAAAAAAAACTAAAAAAAAGCTAAAAAAAAATTTTAATAAGAAGGGGCAGGGGATAAAGAAATGTTTCTTTCACCCCACCCCCACTCCTAAAAAAAAAAAAAATTCATTTCTTAGCATTTAGGTATAGATAGATATAGACATAGATAAATTAAAAAAATAGAAAAGAAAAAGAAGAAAGATCGTGACGCATACACACCGATTGAGACATTTCTTTTTATTTATTTTTGTTTTTCAAATCTATATTCTTGGTGTAACCCAACTCTTTTACCTGCATTGCTTTGTTAATTATTCAAAGTTAGCTAAGTGAATTTCTTCAATGTGCTAATAGATTACTCAAATAAATTAAAGCAGTATTTTTGTGCGTTTGTCTCGTTTAGTCAAGTGTTTAGTTATGTTTTCTTGGTTGGATTTGTTTCTTGAGATTTTTTGTGTGGCTTCAGTACGATGAGATTATCTACTGCTGTACATTTCTATCAATTGTAAATGATATATATTTTTTAAAGTAATTGTAAATGATATTTTGTATTCATATACCTGACTATTATTTCCTTTTTAGCATTTTATTTGATTTTATAAGTGAAACTAAGGAGACGTTTGGTTCATGAATTAGAATCATGTGATTAGAATTATTTTTTATTTACGTATATTTTTTGTGAGAGAAAACACTGTAACGAATTATGAACCATGATTCAAATCATAGTTTGAATTCTCCAACTAAATATCCCCTAATTATTTATCGGCACCACATCTCCTGCATTTTGTGAGAGAAAACACTGTAACGAATTATGAACCATGATTCAAATCATGGTTTGAATTCTCTAACTAAATATCCCCTAATTATTTATCGGCACCACATCTCCTGCGATACAAGAATACCGTGTGAACGCGAATTGATGCTTGTGTTGCTAAATAACACGTTGATCCTTGGTAGGACTATTTTACACCACCTAAAGAACTCGTCAATATTTTTTTTGCATCAGGTTGTCGTTTTCGTTTTTACTTGTAATTTTGTAAGTCATCTGGTCACCAAAGACTTTACCAGATTACGAGCTTAACTAAGATGGAAATTAGAGTTATCTTCATGTCTCCTTCAATTTAATTCGCTGATTCAAATTTTTAATTCGAGTTGAGATGTGACTTTATACAATAGCTTTTAACTGTAGCAGAAAAAATTAAATTTGATTTTTTACGCAAATTTTTAACTGTAACAAAACTGAAATTAAAAACTCAAAAAAATGTGAAATTAATAAATATTGATAATAAGACCTAATATCATAAAAAATACAAGAAAGCCACAAAAAATAAGAAAAAAGTATATCATTTTCAATTTGTTGTTGTGACAAGTTTTGACAAATAACTCTATAGGATTCAGCAAATAAATAGTAAAATTAATTATCATATTATTTTCTAACACAAACTTAATAAACAAATTGATTTGTACAGTATTACAAGAAAATTCACCGCTAAAACAAGATAATGTGGTTACATGAATTTTCTATAATCGGTGCTGGAAAGCTCACTATTAAAATTTGTGTAAATATTTCATTTATATTAGTAAAAAAAATCACGTAAATTTTCATAAATAGATTTTATCATATAAACAAATATTTACATAGTAAACTCTTATTTACTTTAAATATTTAAAAAAAAAAGCGGGATAAAAAATCATTACATATTTGTCATCTCGACACTTACAATAGATGAGATATAATTTAAGGACTTGTTTAGTTCGCTGATTCGAATTTTTAATTCGAGTTGAAATGTGACTTTATTTGAGAGCTTTTTACTGTAACAAAAAAATTAGATGTGACTGTTTTTTAAAATTTATTATCTTAATAAAACTCGAATCGGTGAAATAAATGGAATTTAAAAATTCCTCTAACCAATATTGGTAAGTGTCTAATGAGAAGGCAAACTGGGTTAGTGTGTAGACCAGTCTTATTACAAGTACGTGTAACAAAGCCACATGAACCACCACCAAACAATCTGATGTCTGCTAAAATAGGCTCTTTAATAGGCAGACTGGCTGGATTATTAACCAAGGAGACTGCTAGTCCACTGTCCTACGCAAATAACAATCCCTCACCAACAGCTAAGCATTCTACAATTTTAAAATAAATTATTTACATAATTTAGTTTCATAAATCTACTATTTACAATCATTTTCAAATATTATGCAAATACTATTAGTATGATACTATGTATTATAGCAAAATATGTTTTTTATTACCCTGTGTTTTTAAAAATTGATACCTTCAAGTTTTTAAAAGTATCTTTTTAATACCTCGAGTTTTTTTTAACACATAAAATGTTCAAATTGCCTTTTTTAATTAATCAACTAAAAGCTAATAAGTTCCATAAAAATTCAAAAAATACTTAAACACGTATAAAAATTAAAAAAATTAAAAAAATAAATAGTCTATTCCTGCCTTAATCCAAATCACGAAAAAGTCAAAATTAAAAACACAAATCAAAACAATCAAAATCACACCCAAATCAAATGATGTTTGTTTGAAAGTTTTTAGATAGTTCAAACTATAATTCTTAATTATACTGTATTATTTTTTTGTTACAAAAAATTTAAATTTTAAAAAAACCTATAAACCAAAAACTTAGATCAAATTCGGATGGCCTCCAATAAACAATCATAATCAAAACCCAATCAACATATGTAAAAGGGGCCCGTTTAGGAAGTGTATTTGAATACTGATTTAAGTTTTGATTCAAATTTTTTATGAGAGAATTATTAAAGGGATTTTTTTTATTTAAATTATTTTTGAAAGGAAAAACACTGTAACTTTGGGTTTGAATACATGTGTAATGAACAACCCCAAATCTTCAAATTGATCGGCTCTTTCAAATCTTCAAATGTTCAGATTCATTACAAATCACCGTTCACTTCACTGATTCGAGTTGAGATGTGACTTTATGTGAGAGCTTTTTACTGTAGCAAAAAAGTTAGATGTGATTGTTTGTGAGAGCTTTTTACTGTAAAAAAACTTGAATTCTAAACTCGAATTAACGAAGTGAACGGGGCCTAAGAAAACGTGCAGGCTACGACGGAGTTTCCCAAATAACGAACTAGATGGTGCATTTCAACTTCAAATGGTCAGATATTCTCTTCTACCAATGTTGAAACTACCTTTTTAATTGATCAACTAAAAGCTAATAAGTTCCATAAAAATTCAAAAAATATTTAAACACATCTAAAAATAAAAATATTAAAATAAAAATATAGTGACCCTGTTTGTTTATGTTTTTATTTTTTACGTTTTTCGAGACTACAAAATGAAAACAGAAATGTAAAATGCGTTTGGTGTAAAAGTCTTCAAAAAACAAAAACAAAAACGTTTTTGTCTTTTCTGAAAAACTGAAAACGGATTTCATCCGTTTTCATTTTCTCCCTCGTTCTTCACTCTCTTCTCCAATGCCCTCTTCTCTCTCTATCTTATTCTCTCTCTCCTCAACCTTGTTTCTCTCTCTACTTGTCACCTCTTCCTCTTCTCTCTCCTCTATCTCCACGTCATCGCGACGAATCTCCAAAGCTTTTTTTTTCATTTTCTTGAGCAATTTTCTGGTTTTAGATGGGGAAAAAATGACCGAGTCCCAGCCCTGACAAGCCCCACCCCCGCGCAACTCATCTCCGGCGAGCCCAGATCTGTAGCCACCGATCCCACCCACGCGACGCACCTCCTAAACTCAGAATTTGATTTTGAGATATTAATCTGTTTGGTTTCATTGAATAACTAGAAATGTTTGGTTTTGATATGTGATTTTAATTTTAATTTTAGTAGATCTGGGTTTTTGATGAAAGGGAATAAGCTAAGAAGCTGTTTAATTTTGGTAGTCTTCTCGGAAACTTGTTTGGATGGAGTTTTTGAGTCCGACCCGACTGGAAGAGCTTGGATTGGAGTGAGGATGTTCCTTGACTTCCATGGCCGTGGCTTCTTCTTCCATGTCGCTCTCGCTCTGTGTTTCTTGCCAAAGTGGAGCTGTGAGCTATGAAAAGGGAAGGTGTAGGAGATTTTGTGTTCCCAAATCACAAACTAGATGGTGCATTGCAACTTCAATTGATCAGATCTTCTCTTCTACCATATCTCTCTCACTCTACTTATTGTATATGACCAACCAAGACTGACGAGAGAAGCTAGGAGGGAGAGAGAGTGAGAGACGCGGTTTTGCGAGATGGTGGGGAAGATGGTGGCCGGAAACGAGAAAGCAGAAAGTGGGCAGAAGGTGCAGAATAGGCTTGGCGAGAGCCAATCCTTGGCCGGCCACTGTCGCTCGCTGATCTTTCCCACTTGCCCAATACCTGGTACCTGGTGA